GACATAGCACTTTGCATCTGACTATGTGCTAAGAGATGATCGTGCATAAGCCTTGGTGAAGCATAGCAGTTGTTTTGTTTCCAGCTGATCGCCGCCATGATAACGTGGCTCGTGATGAACGATCGTCATTTACAGGTGAAAACGTCGAATAACGAGTGCTATCGTGTAACACCAGTTTACGGATTCGTCGAAAAGTTGTCAAAGACTGAACTGATAGTGATTCGGCTCGAAGGACCACCGAAAGACGATAAATTCGTGGTGCAATGGGCCGAAGTGCCGGATGAAGAGACCGACGCACAGGCACCGTTCAAGGCCGGTGCGCAATCCGGTGAAGTGATTATGCCAGTTAATGCACAATGATCCATCCATCCATCCATCCATCCATCCATCCATCCGTAGGATGATCATCCCTGTCCGCATCAATTAATATCTCAATAACATCACGATCAAATGCAATAAATTCTAAATTATCAAAAATATATCCAAACTATTTTATTGATTGATCAAATGACAGTAAGTTTCATGCGTTTTTATCGCAAGTAACGTGAATGTGCAATGTGCATTTGATTTGCAATGTAATCGAATAAATGTGACACAGTGTATTGTCTTTAACAAACAAGCGATTCAGTGACAGTTCTTGCATTCACTGGTTGCGAGGCAATTCCAAAAGCCTTGCACTGCACGAGCTTCTTCTCGCATATTTTCCCTCAGATTGCGCTTACAATTCGATCAAAAGCGACTTTTATGTTTACTCATAATCGTACATCCACTCCAGACAGCTGCAAACTGCGTGCCCTTTGGAATTTTTTGACTGAAGGATATTCAGAGCATCGAAAAATTTGTTGTATATAAGTCTACAGTTGGAGGTGATCGCGTAAAATGCTTTTCAAAATAATGACAAATTGAAAATTTGTCGTTGATTTCTCTAACAATAAGCTCGCTACATCTCTATTGTTAGTCATAATGGTAATTAAGTGAGAAAATTCGCTCTCATGTTTATAGTGATGATTCTGGACTTCTTTCAGTGAAATTTTTCAACTGTAGTTATTTTACTGAGCGGATTTTAACATGTGCGCAGAAATATTTCCTTGCAGTGGCGCTCATCAGTGCTCAATCGTTTCATTTTGTTGTTGTCAAGAGAACCAAGCATCAGATTACTGATAGGCAGTGATGCTCAAATTTGAAAGGAAAAATCGACTCAGCTCCGACTGCGGTTCCAAGTTTTTGAATAATTCATCGTCGTATCTGGCTCCAAATTTTGCCTTACTCCTCTCCGTCTTCAACTTCAGGACAATTCGGCTCGTGAAAAAAGCATCATGCAGATTCTAGCCCCAGCCAATAAATATCTCTATGACAAAAATGTTTTTTGAGGATGTCAAATAATTTTTTTGTCTTCGAAACTTGGATGCCAATGCTGATAAGTAGTTAGCGATCATGTCATTCTCGACCACTGTTCATCGATTCTAAAATCACG